TGGGCAGCCAGCAGTAAATGGACTCTGCTGTCTATTTACACCCGGCTACCACCAATCTGCTCTGCCTACACAGAAGAAGACAGAATCGTCTCCATTTTTTGTTTTTTTAAGCAGGCTTGACCAGACCCAGAGGTAGGCAGGTGTAAACTGACATAAGGCCGCTTGCACCGACCCGCCCATAGAGATGAATGGACCTTCTAGTCAGGTCCACCTGAAAAACTAAAAGGCGGACCTGATCGGAACACTCATCTGAAAGGGGGCCTAACTTCCTGACTATGTTAATGGAACAGCGAACTGCACCTCCTGTTATAGAACTGCCTGTCGTCTCATTGCCAAAGATTGCCGGGATGAAACTCTTGGACAAGGTTCCAGTAAGAGAACAAATTATTTCCACGGAGGGGTATGGGGTAATCGCACATATTACTAACAATTTGTTAGGGTCATCTTGTATGGGGTTGTCCTCAAAAACCATACTCACATACCCAGGTAAACCAGTGTTCTGGTGTAATCTTCAACTTTGTCACTGCACACCAAGTCCTACACCACCATCTTCTCTTCTTATAGTCCACCATCAGGGGAATGACTGGAAGAGACATGCAGCCCCCTGATGATGCACTGTGGCACATGCCTAGTGTGTTGAATGCCCTTAAGCTTCCTAGGAGGCACATGACGTGTTAAATCTGGAGGCTTCAGGTAGTGGGGGGAAGTGGAGATGTAACACCAACCAAAAGCTACAGGGGGCACAATTCTTTCCACAGCCACAAAGCATTGTAGCTGCAGCATGTGTACAGCCATAGCTGCTGCAGTGGTCAAGGGGTGGTAAAAAAACGGGGCACAAAAGAAGGGTTTTAAAGCTACCCATTTAACTGCTAGTGTGAACAAGACCTAAAAAGGAATGGGTGGGGGGGGGGGGAATTATGTCAACTTGTTGAATAGGGTGAAGGTCCACCAACCCGCTAGAAAGTGTACAAGATGGTCTTTATTAGGAGTGGAGGTCAACAAAGGAAGCCAATGCTTTTCAGGGGCTAAAAAAAAAAACTCCCCCTTCATCAGGCAAGCCGGAGAACCACTGGACTATGAAGAATTTTAACCTCCAAATATGGAAAGGTTTCTTCAAAGAAAAGCTGTGAAAATGTGGAATAGACTCCCTCAAGAGTTGGTTTTGGCCAGCTCAGTGGATTGCTTTAACCACTTCCTGTCCGGCCCTAGTACATAAATGGCTGGACGGAAGCAATGCAGGAGCGGGTTGCCATTTATAAACGGCGCCTGCATTCACAGCCTGTGCGCGCTCCCTGGGAGTACACGACACCGCAATCCAGTGCTCGCTATGTCCTCTGGACACAGCGGAACACCAATCACTGTACTCTACCCTCTGTGTGAGGTCCCAATTCATGTGATCACTGATTGGCCAATCAGTGATCACATGAATAGTAGTAAACAAGATGTCACTTCCTGGCATCATTGCTTACTATGTGTGAAATCTGTGAATCACAGAGGTCACACGATACAAGGCTATTCACAACAGCCCTGTACCATGTGACAAGCTGTGACCAATCACAGCTCTCAATATTTCTCAATGGGTGCAAAAATGCAGCCAGAGAGAAGGAGAAATGATTGCTTTTACAGCCTTCATGGGTGTGTAAAAAATGAAAAATCACCGCCCCCCCCCCCAAAAAAAATATAAAAAAATAAAATAAAAATGTAAAGAAAAATTTTGAAAATTTATAATTTTTGCTTATAAACTAATTTTTTTTTTTTTTTTACTAAAACGATAACTGAATAAATTTTGGCAAAGATTTATGAAGAAAGATTATTTATTTGCTAACTTTTATAAGAAAAAACACCTTTTTCCAAGAATTTGGGACTTTCATTTATATAGCAAAAAAAAAAAAAAATCCCAGTGGTGAATAAACACCACCAAAATAAAGTTTTGTCGGTCTCAAAAAATTCATATGGGTACAGTGTTGCATGACTGCACAATTGTCATTCAAAGTGTGATAGCACTGAAAGCTGAAAATTGGCCTGGACAGGAAGGGGGTGAAAGTGTCAGGACTTGAAGTGGTTAAAAAAGGCCTGGATTCTTTCTTAGATACACAGAATATAACTGGTTGCTAAGATTTATAGGCAACGTTGATCCAGGGAATATCCGATTGCCTCTCGGGGGATCAGGAAGAAATTGTTTCCCCTACAGGAGCAAATTGAATCATGCTTTACTGCGGTTTTTTTGCCTTCCTCTGGATCAACTGTGGGTGTAGACTTATAACTTTATATTTTTGTTTGGTTGAACTGGAGGAAAGTTTTCAGCCAGACTAAACTATGCAACTACGAATAGAGATTTTCTGACTAATCGCACTCAGCAGTCCAGACTTCCTCAGGGACTTTATCCCTGGAAACAAGTCGGCTTAGTAGCTACATCTAAATCTGAACATACACAGTTTGAGATCCAGTGAATCAGCCAACATCCAAGCCAAGAGTGGCACCGTTCGGCACCACAGAGCAGAACTTTGAAAAACTGAAGGAGTGATAATAGTTGGCTGCAACCACTGTTCATGTATTCCGATAACCATAGTTACGGGCAGGGGAGGTTCCTCCATCTACGTCTTTGGTGTGGATGGTGGGATGGTGCATGAGAAGTATTTACGTGTATATCCTGCTTATTAAGCCCATAATGAACTACTACTTTAACCCCTTCCTGCGCTACCTCCTGGCCCTTTAAGACCAACGTTTCTCAACCTTTTTTCAGTCAAGGCACCCTTTAAGGTTATGAACCCTCTTGAGGCACGGTCTCAAGGAATCCCATACTAAAATGTAAAAAACCTATTCTAATAGTTTTACTTAGTGCAGCAACACCCACACATGTAGAACACCCAATGTTAGAGGGGATTTATTCTTCCAATGCAAATACACTTTTGCACACTGGCTTGAATAGTATTCCAATGATTCTCTTCTCCCTCAAGTTCTCTCTATCACTCAGCTAATTTGCGCCCATTACTGATAGAGAGGGGCAGGGGAGGGTCAAACAAGGATGCCATGCATGCGACAAACATCCTTCATATTAACTGATGGCGTCATTGGTTGTGAGGATGCTGGCGCTAGAAGGTTGTAATGGTGCACAATGAAAACCTGTCAGTTTGTGTAACTAAAGGTTGGCTTGATCCATCCACCGGCTTGTATACAATTTTTGGGCAATGTTTAGGCAGTTTGCCAAGGAACCCCTGAAGAAACATCAAGGCACCCCAAGGTGCCTGGGCACCCTGGTTGAGAAAGGCTGTTCTAGACACTGGGAGGTGGACATTCCAATCATGTGACTGCCGTTATTGGCTATCGCATTGCTGGAAAGCTCAAAATAGAAAGAAATCCTGCCGGTAACTGTGCCGGGAGTGCGCACTCAGCACAGAAATATTTATATTTGGGAAGCATTTATGCAGCCTCGCTGTGTTCAAGCCCAGCCTCCTAGAGGCCGCCAGGAAGAGGTTAAACATGCATTAACAGGTGAGCTTACAATAAGTCGTAGGACCCTTTCACACGGTCAGTCAGATCAAGTCTGCCTATCCATTTTTCAGACAGACCTGATCGAACCCTCCATTCTGCTCAATGGGAGGCCAGGTGTATACCGACTTGTGTGTCTACACCCACCTACCTGCAATCTGCTAAAAACAAATAGAAGGGGATCTGTTCCCCCTCCGTCTGGGCGGATCGGATCTGAGGGCAGTCTGGTGTAAACGGACAGCTGATCTATTTACACCTTGCCGTCCACAGAGCGCAGAGTCCTGTGTGCTCCGCTTATGCTGTAATCCGCCCACTCCGCGGGATCAGCAGATAGATCCCCTGCTGAGCATACGGACTCGGCCCCACGTGAAAAGGGCCTTACCTGTAGGTAAGGAATACATCTCCGAAACGTGTGCCGTTCAGGAGACATTCACATTGGCTCTAGCCGGTGACGTCCTTGCGCATGTCAAATAGAAACGAGCTCTCCTGCGCTCTGAGACCCAAAAGAGGTGGATAGATGGAACCAGAACTTGAAAAAATTCGACCACCTGTGCATATGGGGTTGTGCAGCTCCAAACAAGGCTGGGGAAGCCCGACCAATACGGTGAAGCAAAAGCAAAAAAGAAGCGCACCAACCTTGCGCATTACCTCAGTAGACCAAATATTTATTGAATACAAAAATATACTTACAAACAATGAAGTATTTCAAGCACGTCAGTTCTCAAAGGAACTATGGAATGGTAAGACCTGCGTGAGTCCCATCATAGGGGTGGACACTCAGGGAACAGCTGACGCGTTCCTTCATCAGAGCTTCTTGAAATACTTCATTGTTTTTGAGTATATTTTTGTATTAAATAATTATTTGGTCTACTGAGAATGCGCAAGGTTGGTGCGCTTCTTTTTTGTCCTTGCACCATGTGCTCTGCAGTCCGGGAACATTGGGTGTGCCATGAATGCAGAGCGCCGTGCCGCTACACTGGCTCATGTGTGCATGTGCAGGAGTGATGTCATCACAGCCCAGCCATTCCATCCACACCCAGGAGGAGGAGCGGGTGAAGATGGCGGCACCGGGAGAGCTTCTGTTTTACCTTTCTATGAGGGCGGCCTGTATGGATGGGGAGCCACCAAGCGAACCCCCCGAAAGGGTCTCTAGGCCCCATCCTCGTCAACCATCTACCCAGCGCACCTCCTGTATTCGAACTCGCGGGAAGCACAGGGGTCATCTTTACTTTGGTGACAAAGAACGAAGCGACCGTGGAAAAAAAAATAATCGCCACGGCGGCGTAAATCCGCTAAGACACGGAGATAAGGGCGCCAAATACATCCGTACACTACAAGAAGCTCTGATTGGCTCCAGCCTTCGTACATGAAGCCCCATTCCTCATCAGGGAAATGTGGGCCCCATGTGCGGGAAGGTCGGCCTCTCATTGGCTGGGGCCCCTCTATTGTCGCACGGGCCCCAGGCCTCAGCCTATGAAGGAGGGAAAGGAATGGGGGAGGGAGGGGATTACCGGTCATTGAGCTGGTCCTCGGTCCCGGGCAGCGGATGGACCACGAAGTGAATGGAAGTCATGGCGGGTCCGCCGAGGATTATTAATAGGACTATGGGAAGAAGATGTCTGCTGGCCGCCGTACGAGGCGGAGCCTCGGCCTTTCCTCCCGCTCTACCGCCAGACAAAGCCGGCCTCGGCTACGCGCTCCTCCCTTCTCTTCTCTTTTGCTGATTTTTCGCCAGCCGCGAAAACTACATCCGACACCGGCTGGAAATCGGCGAAGCCCTCAGTATCCGGCCGCCATCTTGCCGCCTCCAAGCAGTCTGCTTCTCCCCTCCTCCTCCTCCCACCAGGACCTCAGCGGGGGATGCAAGCTTCTCCGCGATTGGATGGCTGTGGTAGGCCTCGCCGGCCGGGAGGGTCCTCCAAAGCGCTTTCTGATTGGCCAGAAGCAGTGGGCTTCGGAGGTCTGGTTGCGCAGGCGCGAGATTTGTGCCAGCCTCCGGGCGGGGCGGACGCGACGTGGTGAGGAGGACGCAGAGCGAGTGTTCTTTAGCTGTAGAGCAGCGGGAGTCGCTTTACCTGCATGACGTCATCAAAGGGCTAAACAGCATTCATTGCATGTAATCCTACAGGAAGCAGGCCTGGTGAACGCAATGGGAGTGTTACTATGGGCAAACCTATTTCTTCTAAATGTTGGATAATATAATGGAGGATTACAAGGCGCTTGGTTCACATCTGTGCGGGTGGTGTCGCTGCGGGCGTGCAAATCCCTGCAGCTGCACAGAGGAAGGCGGGACCTGCACAAATCCCTTCAGCCTCACAGAGGACTGGCGGGACCCGCGCAAATCCCTGCAGCCGCAGAGCAGAGAGGACGGCGGGACCCGCGCAAATCCCTGCAGCCGCAGAGAGGACGGCGGGACCCGCGCAAATCCCTGCAGCCGCCCGCGCAAATCCCTGCAGAGAGGACGGGCGGGACCCGCGCAAATCCCTGCAGCCGCAGAGAGGACGGGGCGCAAATCCCTGCAGCCGCAGAGAGGACGGCGGGACCCGCGCAAATCCCTGCAGCCGCAGAGAGGACGGCGGGACCCGCGCAAATCCCTGCAGCCGCACAGAGGACGGCGGGACCCGCGCAAATCCCTGCAGCCGCACAGAAATCCCTGCAGCCGAAGGCGGGGGACCCGCGCAAATCCCTGCAGCCGCACAGAGGAAGGCGGAACCCGCGCAAACCCCTGCAGCCGCACAGAGGAAGGCGGAACCCGCGCAAACCCCTGCAGCCGCAGAGAGGACGGCGGGACCCGCGCAAATCTCTGCAGCCGCACAGAGGAAGGCGGAACCCGCGCAAACCCCTGCAGGGTGCGCAGAGAAGAAGGACGGCGGGACCCGCGCAAATCTCTGCAGCCGCACAGAGGAAGGCGGGACCTGCACAAAATCCCTGCAGCCGCACGACTCACACAGAGGAAGGCGGGACCCGCACAAATCCCTGCAGCCGCACAGAGGAAGGCGGGACCCGCACAAACCCCTGCAGCCGCACAGAGGAAGGCGGGACCCGCACAAACCCCTGCAGCCGCACAGAGGAAGGCGGGACCCGCACAAACCACCTGCAGCCGCACACAGAGGAAGGCGGGACCCGCACAAATCCCTGCAGCTGCACAGAGGAAGGCGGGACATGCACAAATCCCTGCAGCAGCACTGCCCACAAAGACGAATGCGGGACCCTCACAAATCCCTGCAGCCACACCACCCACACAGAGCAAGGCAGGACCCGCACAAATACCTGCAGCTGCACCACCCACACAGAGGAATGCGGGTGCCATTAATTCTAATGGCTTGCCCCCTGCACTGGAAATCGCAACCATACTGGGAATCTCTGTTCTCGAGTGGGCTGCGATTTCCAAAGAAGTGCAGGGACTTCCCTGCATGTCTCGAGGCATGGAAGTCCATTAAAATGAATGGGCTCTTGTGCCCGCGCAAATCACGGCCCTTACAACTGCACAGATGTGAACCTGGCCTTACCCCTGTCACTTTTTTTTTCATCTGTCTCCCATTACAGAGATTTCCCTTCACTTCCTGTCCCATAGCCAATACAGGAAGTGAAAGGAATTTCCTCCAAAGTGAGAGAATGCTGAGATGTCACCAGAACTAGTGTCCCATTGGAAGATTTCGGCCCTTTTCCTGTTCTGATTTCAACCCAAAATTCAGGATTTGCTTTCATTGATAATGGTAAACAGGACAAATAGGAAGAATCTCCCTAATGGGGGACACAGCAATAAAACTTGACACAAGTTCGAATCCCTCTCCACTTTGTCTAAAACTGAAAAAAATACGGTTTCACGATAAGCGGCATGACGTGATGGTTCGGGGGAACTTTTTTCTCCGCACATCATGTTTGGCATCATTATTATTATTATTATTATACAGGATTTATATAACGCCAACAGGTTGCTGAGCGCTTTATAAAATGAAGGTAGATTACAATACAATTTGGTACAAGAGGAAACAGAGGGCCCTGCTCGTTAGAGCTTACAATCTTAGAGAAAGGATTGAGTGATACAAAAGGTAATAGCTGTGGGGGGATGAGCTGATGGAAGAAATAAAAAGCAGTATACTCGTTAGAAGCAGGATAGGCTTCTTTCAAGAGAAGGGTTTTCTGGGATCGTATAAAGGTGGATAGATTAGGAGACAGTCTGACAGATTGGGGTAGGGAGTTCCATAGGATGGGAGAAGTCCTGGAGGCGAGCATGGGAGGAGGTGACACAGGAACTAGAGAGCAGATGGTCTTGGGAGGATAGAAGAGAGCTGTTTGGTTGGTATTTTGAGACCAGGTTGGTGCTGTATCTGGGGACAGAGTTGTGGATGGCTTTGTAAGTTGTTAGTATTTTGAATTTTATTGGTCGGGTGAGTGGAAGCCAGTGGAAGGATTGGCAGAGAGGGGTGGAGGACACTGATTGGAAGCCAGTGGAGGGATTGGCAGAGAGGGGTGGAGGACACTGGAAGCCAGTGGAGGGATTGGCAGAGAGAGGTGGAGGACACTGGAAGCCAGTGGAGGGATTGGCAGAGAGGGGAGGAGGACACTGATTGGAAGCCAGTGGAGGGATTGGCAGAGAGGGGTGGAGGACACTGATTGGAGGCCAGTGGAGGGATTGGCAGACAGGGGTGGAGGACACTGATTGGAAGCCAGTGGAGATATTGGCAGAGAGGGGTAGCAGACACTGAATGGTTGGTAAAGTGGATGAGTCTGGCAGCAGTATTTATGATGGACTGAAGGGAGGAATAGCCTATGTAAAGGGAAGCCAATGAGGGAGTTGTAGTAGTCGGGGCGAGAGATAACCAAGGAGTGAGTTACCGCTGGGTGAATGTATTGTATGATTGTGACTGTATTGTTATGTAGTGTATTTATGCACTGTGTTGCAGTACAGGGTGGAATGTACCCCGATTAAGTATCTTTTTTTTTTTTTTATATATATCTATATAAAAATAAAGCATATGTTTTCAACAAAAAAAAAAAAGCACTGTGAGTTACTGTTCATATTTCAGGGGACGGTCAGAGACTGCAGACCTACTACAAGAGTAGCCGCAGTCTAGAGATGTGCTGCAGGAGAGTGCCAGAGACTGGGGACACAATACAAGAGACTGTCAGAGATGACTGCCATTATCGTCTCTGAGAAAGACAGCGCCCCATACAGCTTCCTACTGAATGAACATTCTTCGCAGAAAAATCCCTCATAAATCCATATATTAGGTCAGAGGTAACAACAAAAAACATAAAAAGGGAAAAAAAAAGAAAAGTATAAAAGAAATATAGCAAATAATTTAGTTTGTAGAAACTAGATTAGTTCCAGCAGTATGAAACCCAAAAACAAATGTATTTTATTGCAGCTTATCAGTTCTTAGATTTGATGGCTGTGTTAGTTTTCTGTTGTGGGGTTTTTTATTTTTCCTGGTGATACGGCCTGTAGGTCTGGGGCAGCACAGTGGCTAAATGGTTAGCACTTCCGCCTGGCAGTAGTAGGGTCGTTGGTTCAAATCCCGACCACGGCACCACCTGCCTGGAGTTTGCATGTTCTCCCTGTGCCTGCGTGGGTTTCCTCCGGATACTCCGGTTTCCTCCAACTCTCCAAAGACATGCTGTTAGGTTAATTGGCTCCTGCCTAAATTGGCCCTAGTATGTGTATGTATGAATGTGAGTTAGGGACCTTAGAATTGTATGCTCCTTGAGGGTTAGGGACTGATGTGAATGTACAATATATATATAAAGCGCTGTGTAAATTTACGGCGCTATATAAGTATCTGAAATAAATAAACTTTTCAACTTTACCAGACCAAGCTGTCCAGCACAAGTGGCAGTTGAGACACACTATTTACCACTGACACTTAAGTAAAACATTTTCATTTGAAAAACAAAAAAACAGCTGTTGCTGTAACTGCTTAAAGTGGAACTAAACCCATTGATTTACCGGTTTAAAAAAAAAAGCAGTTACATTCAAGGTATGCTGGCAATGATGAAATAGAAAAGAAAAAAAAAGGTGGCAGAAGGTGGATGAGCCACTGATTGTGGATTGCTTTCCCACTATACAGCCTAACTATCCGCTGATGCGGTGGATTGATGGTTTCAATTGGAGACAAGTTGATTAATTACAATCTGAGTGATCGTCCATGCTGAGTCTGTTCAACTTTATAATCTGTTTTTCACACAGACCTCCTCCTCCAAAATAATTTCATGACTGACTACAGCTATCCATCAGAGGGCATTTTCCTTACTGATTGGTTTGCCTGGAACATCTATTGATTCCAAGTCTGGATCTTGTCCCTCTGACATCACTCACAGCACAACTTTTATGAGGGTGATAGGACTTTTAGGTTTTTGAGTTCCTAATTGAAGTGGTGAATTTCTGCAATTATATACATGGCTGAGAATTATATCATCTCGATTGACACTAACATTGATTTATATGCATGATTTCATCTCTTTATGTTTAGTTATTCCCCTATTGGCTATGTCTGTGTTCCGCTCCCACAAATCTACTTTAACCAGGTCCTATGGGATGTCTTTGTGGTGGTGAATGTGAGCCTTGTGATATATCATTTTGGGGATTGACATCTTACAATTTTACATCTTACCCAGGCTTTCCTAGTTTTAAGTGACAACATTGTCATATGTTAATGGTGATGGGTGGAGACTATCTTACATTTTTGTACATGCTTGTGCAAATGTGTTATATGTGATTCAATAAAGGTTTATATCGTTAAAACTACCTGGGTCACATGAGAGTACCTTCTTTTCTATGGGGGCTCTCCTCCATATATCTTTTTATCTAATGCTGGGAATGATAACTGTCACAGTTGCTTGTATGCTCATCTGAACTGTCATGCCATCAAATGATTGGTGGCATGTACAGCTCCATGGCAGCTGCAGATAAAACAGAGGCTAACATGGCAGCTTCCTTGGCTGTAAAACGTAGGATTTGGTTTTGTTTTAAAGAGTGTTCGCTGGAGTTCAAACTTAAAGCGGAGTTCCACTCACTCTAAAAAATTAAAAGTCAGCAGCTACAAAAACTGTAGCTGCTGACTTTTAAAAAACAGCCACTCACATATCCCGTGATCCCGCGTTGCCCCCGCTGCAGCCCGTTTCTCCAGTTGTCCTGTATTCCAAGAGGCCGGCATCTTCAGTGTGGGCACCCGGCTGTGACAGCTTGCGGCTTCACAGCTGGGTGCCCACTGCGCATGCGCGGGTAGTGCTGCGCTTCCTGAATGGCCCCATCATCTTCTGGGACCTGTCACGTGTCCCACAAGACTACGGGGAGGGAGGGTAGGAGGACAACTTCCATTTCCAACCGCCTAGGCGATTGCAGCGGAAACCTGTCAAATTCCAGGTACCCATCACCCCCCCCCCCACTCCCCAAAGGTGCCAATCCTTAATGGGGAGCGGGGGGGACCATTCTTTAAAACTGAACTTCCCTTTTTGGGTGGAACTCCGCTTTAAATTGCAACTAAACCATCCCTCTAGCCAAGGAAGTTGCCATCTTAGTCTGTGTGATCTGCAATTGCCATAGTGCTACAAATGTGATCAGGTATGACAACAGACAGTTTATGTATTGAAGGAGAAGTCCACTAATTTGGTGATCATGATTAATCCCTGGGGGCGGAGCGAAATGTGTTGGAGGCGTGGCCTGGACAGGGCTCAGGCTGAGACAGCCACATACTTTTCCATGAGTGGATTTGCAGCAATGTGCGGCTTGCAGAACTTCTCGTTCACTACATGCTAATGAGATGAGCTCCATTCCCAGCCAGCACTCCCAGCAGTTGGCAATTGATTGGGATCATGTAGTAGCCTGAGCAGCACCCACATTTGTACATAAGCAGACATTTGATGGCTTGACAGATTGGTTGAGTGCATAAGCAACTGTGACAGTCATCATTCCCAGCATGCCTTAAATGAAACAGGTGTGGGAAATAGTTACATTGATGGGTTTAGTTCCCCTTTAAAGTAGACACCGGTCTTTAGCCGCCTGCTTGGCTGGTACAGAATGACGTCACCCCGCATATGTGAAGGAATGCAGTCATCCAGGCACACAGGGAGTGTGCCAGAATGTAAACTAAGCTGCACATGTGCATCAGAGTCTAAGATGACAGCTTTCTCTTCTGTAAAGGATAGGAGGATTTATTTCAGCTGCAGTTTGTTAGTCCATCTAAATCTGCTAGTGCTTTTAATACTCTCCTCCCCCCAGACTGATAATGCTGCTGTCCAAAGGTGTCTCTGTTGCTCCTTCATCCAGAGTGGGGGCACTGTAATGCAGGAGGTGTGTTACTGGCCAGATCACCAGGTGAAAATAAAAGGAAAAATAGCCTAAAAGAAGAAAACTAATGCAACCACCACATTTAAAGCGGTATTAACCCCCAAAACAATTCTTAGATGTGGCTGTATTCGTTTTTCGCCTTTTAGTTTTTCCTTTATTTTCACCTGCTGATCTGACCAGTAAGTCTGTTATTTTTCTGCTGCCTTTAAAGCGAAACTAAACCCACCATTTCAAAAGTTTAACAAAAAAAAAAAACAGTGGAGATCACCAGTGATTTCCAGATTCCACGGGGATCCCACAGGTATGGCACACCCATACTTACATTTATCTAAGATGGAAATCGCCATGCCTAACCTTCAGTTTTAGCTCTTAGAATTGTTGGTCAATATTGCCCCTGGAAATTAGAGCCAGCCAGTAAAGACACCATATTGGGCAGCACAGTGGCTAAATGGTCAGCACTTCGGCCTGGCAGGACTAGGGTTGCTGGTTCAAATCCCAACCAGGGCACCACCTGCCTGGAGTTTGCATGTTCAGCCTGTGTGAGTTTCCTCCAGGTACTCCAGTTTCCTCCCTCCAGAGACATGCTGGTAGGTTAATTGGATCCTGTCTAAATTGTCCCTAGTATGTGTGTGTATGAATGTGAGTTAGGGACCTTAGATTGTACGCCCCTTGAAGGTTAGGGACTGATGTGAATGTTCAATATATATGTAAAGCGCTGTGTAAATTGATGGCGCTATATAAATACCTGAAATAAAATATTTTTATTGAACAGTTTATATTATCCAGTAAAAAAGTAATTATGGCACACAGAGATGAGGTAAACAATATATAGAGAGAGTGATGTAAGGAATAGCAATGATGTAAAACACTGTGAAATATAGAATAATGTCCAAAAAAAACAAAAGTCTTTTTTGGATGTCTCTCAGGCCAATTGAAGGAGCTAGAGGCTCCGAGCGCGTAGCCTGCTTGTCCCACGCCTGTGCCTCCTGATCGGACTGACTCTCTGCCTGTCTCGGTGACGTCACTTCCACCGGTGTGCTCCAAGCTGGTTGTAGGTCTCTTCCTGTACAGACTCCACTGGATCGGCTTCACAGCACCATTACTGTACAGGACAGACCGCCATTGTGCCTTCACACATCACCATCAGCCCAGCATACATCCCCCCATGCCATCGGTGGTGCCTGCAGGACGCTGAAGAACGATCATCCCTCTCACATACAGATGAGCTTGTTCTATTTATTACTCTTGTGAGTGTTTTTTATCCTTTACCATTAAACACGGTTTTAATTACTACACTTAAATGGGCTCCTCCTGTTTCTTTCCTTTAATTTATATTATCTAAACTTCCCTATTAAAAGATGCATATTAATTCACACTTCTGACATCCTTGTCAATTAGATTCCTTATTAATAAAAGATCACATCACATTTTAAACATAGCAAATTAAATTTACATGACTAAATGTTTACAAACTCATGAATGAATCAGAGAAGTTTGCTTGGTACCGCATGACTGATGGCAGAAATAGGCGAAGTAGAAAATATTCCATTTCATGCCAG